GAGCCTTTATTTTAAACAAGTTTGCAAACTTGGTCTCCCTGCATGTCCAACGTATTGGAATAAATGGAGAGCCCCGAGCTCAGTTAGAATAGGGTTTTATAGTAGTAAAGGTGGGGGTGAGGGGTTTCTGAGGTTCAGGACCCCCAGGTGGCTGACATTTGTCTAGGGTGTCCTGGTGCGTGTGCTGGCAGGTGGTTCTATCTACAAAGGTTGGAACGTTAGACATGTCCTTTGTATTATTATTATTTTATTATTATTATTTTGGATTTTCGAGACAGGGTTTCTCTGTGGCTTTGGAGGGAACTAGCTCTTGTAGACCAGGCTGGCCTCAAACTCACAGAGATCTGCCTGCCTCTGCCTCCCGAGTGCTGGGCATTTCCTTTGGAAGGTCTGTTCTTGGGTGGTGCTCAGGTAAACTCAGTTTGTTGTACTTCCTGCAGCCAGGTATGGATCGCTTCAGGGTAAACTACTGAGACTCGGGCCTCTATTAAATTGATGGCTGAGTCCTACTCTGACATAATGGTGGGAAGAACTTCCTTTAGGTGTTCTGCTCATATTTAGCTTATGGCTGACTCCTACAATACCTAAATTGTCAGGACAGTTTCATTCTCCTCTCGGTTTCGGAAAGTGTCACAATCCTAATGGGGAAGACAAGATGAAAAAAGGCAGGCGAGAGAGGAAGAGGGAGAGAGGGGATGGGAGAGAACCCTATGCCATCTTTAGCAGGCTGAGTATAACAGGGAGCTGAGCAGAAAGACTGCAAAATCCAAAAGCCCAAGATGCTGCCCCCTGGTGTGCCACACCCTGCACCCAGCATAGGAGCTCCTCCAAGCTGCAGCTCCGGCAGCCCCGGCAGAGTGCTCCTCCACCTTTGCAGGTCTACTAATTGCGATGCATCTTCCCCAGAAAGGAGACCATATATGGTCAATGAACAGCTCCGAGGGCATTCCTGAGCAGCCCCTCTCTGTTGGCTGACTATAGGGACCATTAGATCCCGTCAGTCCCTTTCTCAAGGAGTTTTACAATCTCCAGGGGGAGACAGACGTGTAAACAGCTAATGCTAATGCAAGCACACATGAATATTCAATAGGTGGAAACAGCCCTCTTGCTCTGGAAGCTGAGAAGCGTTAGCCTTAAACATTGAACGTGGTGCAGAAGAGGAGGAAAAGGGCATTCCTGACTGAGGAACAGGGCAAGCAGAGACTATGACAGTGAGGCCAGCGTCACAAAATCCCAAGGACACAGAGGAGTCTGGGAAGGAAATTTGGGACCAGCCCAGGGAGAGGCTTGGATGCCAGAATGAGTGAGGTGCCCTGAGAGAAAAGGTTTGTGAGCCCTGAGGAATCCTACATGGAGTCGCTTGAGGAGGTGTCCTGACTCCCGCCAAAACAGGGAGCACCCTAAGCTCACTTTCTAAGGGGCAGCATCTTACTGCTAAAGGTTTACCGGCTTGACAGTTCCCACTCTGCCGTCCTCCCCTCCCCCCCCAGGCAGCCCCATAAATGGATCCAGATGGTCATTCCTATTTTGGGTAGTGTATGTGTTGGGGGAGGGGTGGCTCTGAACCCCATCAATCCTCAAACAAACTCTGTGTAAGAGGAGCCTCTTCCAGGCCCTGCTGTGATCCTCTGAGCCTGGAAGGCAGCGATAGTCTTTGATGGAGATTATCCATCTGACTGGGGGGGAAGGGAAACAGGCAGGCGAGGCAAGGACACAGGCCAGGGAGTTGAGCGCTCTGGGTGAGAACCAGGTGATGCCTGTGAGAGAAGGGGTTCTGGGATTGCTCCGAGTGGAAGCCAAACCTGGGAGATAAGCGCCCTCCCTCCCGGGCAGGAGTCAGAGAGCTGGCTTTGCTGTACGGCCACATGACCTTCGCGTCCTGCCTTCTGTAGCTACCCAGGGCAAAGGGAGGATAATGTAGACTATAAGAGGAAACCTAGGGGTCTCTCTGAGCATAGTACTAAATCACTGTGCCCAGCAGCCTCCAGGAACCCTTCTTAAAAGGGCTCAGAGCACAAGGGAGTAGCAGACGATACGCTAGGTCCCTTTGCTCAGACAGTCTGTTACCAAAATATTATGCCAAGCCTAAAGTTTTTGTCACCGATCCGGCTTAGTGAATATTGGTTAAAAACCACTAACACTATACGAGGCATGGGTTTGCAGAAATGAAGACAGCCATTCCTCCCCAGGGGAGGAGACAAACAGTTCATGGCTGTAAATGTGCTGTGGAAAAAGGGTATTCCAGAGGAGTGTGACAGGGACTTTCTAATTCAGACTGGAAGCCAAAAACTGGCTGGCTGAGAAGACGACATTGCATCTAAGTGTAGATGGATATATGAAAATTAGTTAAAGTGGGTAGAGGGCAGGGGGTGGGGTGTGTGCCATGTTCCTCAGTATGAAGAGATATGGAAGGAAGTGATCAAAGGTTAGGGTATCAGTGGTGAAGAAGTAAGAGAGAAGACACGATCTGGAAGGTACAGAGTCTTGTAAATTAAAACATGGTAGATACAGTAGGCCAGGCATGGTGGCACACGCCTTTACTCCAAGCACTCGGGAGGCACAGGCAGTGGAGCTCTGTGAGTTCGAGGCTAGCCTGGTCTACAGAGCGAGTTCCAGGGCAGTGCAATGGGAAGCCACTGAAGCTTGTCAGATTACATGTGGCATTTGTCAGTACAGCCAACTTTGTGGCAGAACCCCAAGACTTGCTTTGGTTGTTTACTCATCCAGCCATACAATCAATGGTTAAAAGGCAGCATGTAAGTTAACAGTGCTGGCAAAGGAATTGCAAAGACACACACTTGCCTTGTAAACCTGGGGCACAGAAGAAGTTAGACAACTTTTGTGACTGAGTCAGGAACTAGTGTGACAGCACATCTATTCTAAACTGTGCTGGAGGGGCGCTTTCCTCCAGGGTTCTCACAGCATGGAGTTCACACTGCACAGGGTTCTCACCACACAGGGTTCACACAGCACGGGGTTCTTTCTTCCTTCCTTCCTTCCTTCCTTCCTTCCTTCCTTCCTTCCTTCCTTCCTTCCTTTCTTTCTTTCTTTCTTTCTTTCTTTCTTTCTTTCCTGTACAGTGTTCTGTCTGTCTGTATACCTGCAGGCCAGAAGAGGGCACCAGATCTCATTACAGATGGTTGTGAACCACCATGTGGGTTCTGGGAATTGAACGCAGGACCTCCTGATGAGCAGTCAGTGCTCTTAACATTGAGCCATCTCTCCAGCCCCAGCACAGGGTTGTCAACGCACAGGGGTTTTGTTTTGTTTTGTAATAGGATTTCTATGTGTATCCTTGGCTGAACTAGCTCTGTAGACCAGGCTGGCTTCTAACTAGCAGAGATATGCCTGCCTCTACTTCTGGAGTGCTGGAATTAAAGGAATTAAACCACTTAGCCCAGTGAGATCTTAAAAGATATCTAAATCGAGGTACATTCCGTGTACATTCAGTAGGGACATACACAGTTCTGGGAGCATCTGTTACATGAGGAACTGTGTAGTCAAAGCCATTCAGATTCTACACAGTACAGATACATTTTTAAAAATACATTTAAGCATCAGGACAGCAGGCTTTTCATAGGTCACCATTAAAGAATAATTTGGTGGAAGATCTTCTCAAAGGACGTAGCTTTATCCTTCCTTAGTGCATTCATCCATACCTTCTGTAGGCTAATAGCCTCGGGTCATGAGGAATCAAGTCTGGCTGGACTGTGCCATCGTCCCTAGCCAGAAAGAGTGACTTAGCTCTAACCTGTCCGGTCTGCTCCACCTGCAGAAACAATACGGCTGGGCATGGAAAACAACTCACTCTGATTCCAGACAAACCACACACACACACCCACACACCCACACACACACACACACACACACACACAAAGCTGGAACTTCCTGGTATCTACTTATGTGCAGATACATGTCCTCCAACCCCACTGTTCCAATAAAGCAGTCTCAGCCCACTGAGGCAATCTGTTTCTCTGCCTCATTTTTCACACACCTTTTTGTAGCCTGGTTCCCTTCTTGTCTTCCAATCCTCCCTTCCCACTGCCTCACAGTCCACTTCCTTGTCTCTCTGGGCATCTCACCCTCTGAGAGCCAAGAGATCCC